AGCCATTGGTTTGTATGGCACCATGAATAATATTCTGAAAAGTATACAGCTACCACTTTAGAAATACATAAGCGCATTTTCTATTTATAGCACTGGTTTTGGAGCCCACAACAATGGCTGTTCAAAAAATACCTGCAGAGTATGACACTCGAAGTGCTGCTGAAATTGCCCCCACTCAGTTAACAGGTGAGTCTTTTGTTGCCATTTGCAGCTACTCTATTTCCTGCCTAGTGTTTTGCATACTAAAGTAATAAGCGTATCCACCATCTTGGGTTGTTGAGATTTCCTTATCTGAAGAAGAGGAGTATTCCCCCTCCGATAGTGACATGTCCTCCTCTGTATCCACTGAGGAATCATAATGAGAACTGGCGGTTCTCTGCCTCTTACGGGAATGGCTGGCTTGTTTCACTCCTTTAGCCACCGTCTGCATTTTGTCCATAGAGGATCTGGAAGACCCTGCAGCCTCATTCAAACAGCTTCCGCAGAGCTTTCTTCCCGCCATAGCTTTGGCATCACAAGAGCGGCATCTGTCAGATTTGCCTTTTTTCTTTCCTGAAGATGCAGAGGACTCTTATCTCCACGGGGCTAAATAAAAAAATACCAACTTGATATTAGCCTTAAAAAATGCACTCTTTTTATTTTTTTATTATACATCTCTAACCTAGGCTCCCTTGATTCAGACCCGTGAGGTGAGGTACGGCATTCCATGTTGCTTTAGCAGGAAAATAGCAGAGAAGCTGCCCTTCATCCCCTTTTAATTTTGCGCCAAAATCAGAGACTCATATAATGTCATGATGACTCCGCGCATGCACAGTAGAGCCGCGAAGCCGCTACTGCCCACATCCACCTGCCCTCAACTCGGAAGAGCTGCCGGAGCTCCAGTGCAGATGCGGGGGGATGGTTACAATTCCAACCAGTCTAGGTAAGATACCACTGCCTACCAGAGCTTACCTGACCCGAGGAGAAGCTGAGACCGGAACACAAAATCCCTCGGTTTCCATACCATGGCCGCTACCCCCAGGGTCACCGCAGGCCTCTTGCAGGTAGAAGGAATTGGCTTCAGCTTCCTCAAGGGGACACCCCTGCCTGGGGCCAAGACTTGAGGGCCCCACAGGCAAGAGAGGCTGAACTCCCCTGCGGCAAAGTATTGCATATAAACATATAATTAAAATAACAAAAAGAAAAATTTTCCCTCGAGGGAAAAAACACTATACTCCCTGTCCCAGGGGAACAGGAACAAAAAAAGACAGGGGAGCTCAGGTGAAGGAGGTGCTTATATGGGCTAAAGGGTGTTGGGCTTTTAACCCTTTGTGTTCCTGTTACCTAGGGCAAATGGGAGCTAACCAATTTGTCAGCGCTGCCATAGGATATTAACATATACAAAATATATAGATCTATAGATCTATATATATATATATACATATATATAGATCTATAGATCTATATATTTTGTAGCTGTTGTGAGCCATTGGTTTGTATGGCACCATGAATAATATTCTGAAAAGTATACAGCTACCAGTTTAGAAATACATAATCGCATTTTCTATTTATAGCACTGGTTTTGGAGCCCACAACAATGGCTGTTCAAAAAATACCTGCAGAGTATGACACTCGAAGTGCTGCTGAAATTGCCCCCACTCAGTTAACAGGTGAGTCTTTTGTTGCCATTTGCAGCTACAACACTTGTTTCCATTGATTATTTATAAAATAACAATTTATAACTTGTTTTTTCCTGCATAGAAACCAATGAGTGTAAAATGATCAGGAATTTGTGTGGGCATGGAGAGTGCATTTCTACTCCTAATGGATTCTACTGCAGTTGCCACCCTGGGTACTATCCTGATCCTGAGAAGAAGGTTTGTATAGGTAAGCCACAAAATACATTTGAAACTAAAATAGGTAATGATGCAGTTTCTATTTAGGTATTCTATACTATGTGTTCTGATAACCTTAGCATATTTATTCATGTCCACTTCCTTCAACTTGGAACTACAATTGCCAATTATTTTATAGAGTTGACACATACAGAGGCGAGTACAGTGTGGATCTTTACTTTTGCAATTTGACTATTTAAAGTTTAAGAATGAACAAAGTGTACCTTGTATTTCCACATAACTTTGCTCTTGTTATTAGCTTGCTTAGAGTGTACAAATTTTGCACACACAATGACACGCTAAAACTGCTGTAAGCACATACAGTAACTCCAAAATGATAGTCCTCAAACTGATGGGAAACCATAACTTGAAAAGGAGGTTTCTCAAACTCTTTGGCACATTTTGAAGGAATACAATAGTTCTCACATTCCAGGAGGCATCCAGCCATACATTTACAGTACATTGCTGGAGCAGTGCAGTTTGAAATTCATCAGACAAATTTGCCCTCATAGTACACCTTGAACATTTTTCTTTTAAAGGCTCATTCTTGCTCACCACCAGGGTTGTGGTGCTGTTGGTGAGGAGGGAATAAAAATGTAGGCAGGCTTCCTCAACACTGGGGTGTATTTATTTCAGTGAAAGATCCCCAAAATATTGTATGGAGTACCTGAACAGTATTTAAACACTTTCACTAAGTCCAATTTTTTTGCAAGAAGAGAAATTAAGTAAAAGCAGCATCAGATTACTGAAAATGCCCCCAAAATATTGTAGAGCCTATGTGCACAGTATTTGAACACTTTCCTTAAACCATTTTTTCAACCAGACCAACACCAGCCAGCTATTGATAAAATAAAAATCAACATTACAGTATATATATTTCACTGAAAACCCCCCCAGAATATTGTAGTGAGATAGTGCACAATCTTTAAACACTTTTATTAGGCCACTAATTCAATAGGATCCCCACCATCCAGCTTTTCATAAAAAAAAACAACATTAGTGTGTATTTATTTCAATGAAAAAAGTTGTAGAAAATATTGTAGTAACTACATGCAAAATATTTGATCACTTTAATCACTTTGACTAGGCCACATTTTGAACAGGACAGACAGAGGCCAGCATTTCATATGTATTTCACTATGTATTGACTATGTATACAGTATTTAAACACTTTTATTAGCCCACTTTTTGAACAGACATCAATCGGCTTTAAATCAATAAATCAACATTATAGGTTATTTATTTAGCTGAAAATGGCTTCCAAAGTATTGTAGTGACTACATGCACAGTATTTAATCACGTTTCTTAGGTTTTATAGACCCCATTTCGAACAGGAGAGACACAAATCAGTTTTTCATTAAATAATGAATATTAGAGTGTATTTGACTGAAAAAAACCCACCAGAATATTGTACTGACTATGCATACCGTATTTAAGAACTTTTACTAGGCCGATTTTTTAAAAAATTCTTTGTTTATTGAAAAGCAGAAAATAGTGTCACAGACGCTTCGGGCGACACTTCGGTAACCATGCCTCAAGCCGCCTATGTCCCTCTTGCAGTCATCCATCCATCCTGCAGGAGCCAGGCTCTGTCTCTCTTAGGACTGCAGCCATCCATGCACCCTGTCACTGCTGGAGCCTCTCCATGCTCGTTTGCGCCGAGCCATTGCTCTAGCACTGCACCTGCCTCAGGAGAAGCCTTGCAGCTCGCTTAACCAAGTATAACCTGGAATATTGCACAGTTCACACTTGCCTTCCTTGTTTCTACCCTGTGTTACCGAATCAGGAATTCCTGGAATAATAACACAAGCACTCCTCGCCTACTGGAATGTCCACGATTAGCCTTACCAGTTCAACTCAACAGCTCCTATACCGGCTAACCGCAAGTATCCCTCTCCTATTATCCTCCAATACCAACCGTATAACATTATCCTAAAACTTACTGCAACCTGGTTGTTTGCTATACTAAAGGCTTTTGCTGTGTTAGTGATCCAACCCTGCATCTATATAAATATATATACCACCACAACTGTTATTGCATCTTAAATGTGTACCTATTTGAAGGAATATGGAGACACTGTGAATACCTGGACTTACTCACTAAATATATTCATGCTTTATTTATTTAGGAACACATCCTATATCATGTATACCATATAATTGACTCAGTATGAAGTAATACTTGCAGTTGTTACTATTGCTAAAGACTCTTGTGATAATTGGTTACCCCTCTGTAGCTTAGATCCATATCAGGTATATCTGATAAATTGTAACGTGTGGTTAAGAGCGTTACGGATAGAAACATTCAGGGTTCAAAATATGCAAGTTGCAACAGGCCTCAGGAAGGTCAAAACGGATACAGCCAAAAACTTTCCCAAAACAGACGTAATACAAGTAAGATGGATTACAATATGTAGCTAACAAAACTGCAGAGAAAATTATACAAGACAACAGGTTAAATGAATAGGAGATACTTAAGCAGCGAATGAACTGGTCAAGTATCCATAATAACTAATGTCACCATATTGTGCAGAAAGAACCATAGAGAATATGAACATTCTATACGTATATTAAACCAAGGAAGCATAAAATCTGATATGCTATTGAGTAATGAGAAGTACGGGCTCCCACCACCCCTCAACCTGAAAAAAAGCAGACAACCAAACTGATGAAAAGGGAATACCCAATAGGGAAGGATGGGGCCCAACTAAAGTTTGGTAACTCCTGGACTAAAGTAAACAGAGACAGGACAGTAAAGAATAGTGCAGAAGACCAGAAAATGTGGAAGCATCCAGAAGAGATCCCCTGGGGTCCCACCCTCCTATCCCCGCTAAAACCATAGATACCACTCAACGAGGTGATGGGGAGTCTGGCAACACCTGCTAATAGGCAGAGGTAAATTTATAATTAAACCATGGCATCTAAGTGGATTTAAACTTTTCCTCGGTATTGTGCAAAGAAGCTGTCAAGAGCACACAGTATCCCAGAAAGGGGAAAGAGCTAAACAGTACCAAAAAAATGTGTGACATAGTACCCGTGGCCAAACCACATCTCCAACAGGTAAATGGAATAGATCTATCAATTTTATATAAAATGTTTTGGACCCTATACCATCGCACTAATATCTTGTAACCCAGGTCCTGGTACCTACTTGCCATGGAAGACCTGTGGGCCAGGGACAATGCCACATGCCTCTGTTGATCTGTGAAGGTCTTACCCAGCTCAGCCTTCCATTTCCTTATGAACGGCGGACAAAAAGTCTCAGGTGGCGCAGCGAGTAGCTTATAAAGCATTGACAGAGAATGACGAACAGGTTAGCCCTTGTGACACACCGACTCGAAGGCCGTTTCAGATTTGATACAAACTCCAAATGTCTAATTGCCGGGAAAGTAGGTTCCGAACCGCCTCCTGTGACATTCAAGTCCCATCCCCAATGAGATCCACCATATATAGTAAAATAGTAACATAGAAACTTGCATACCGTCAACAGGTGGCGAAACCTCTGTGGGAATTTGAGAGGAAGGTCACGGCAGGTCACTCAAAGGGGCTCGAGATTCCATCAGCTCCATAGTCACCCATCTCTTGTGTTGGGAGTTACAGCTCCAGTCAACCAGATGATTAAGGCTGGATGAGGCCCCATTCTGCTTGAGAAGGGTCAAGAGACAATATGCCAGCCTGGGATGTCTACGTGCCCACACAAACCAGATAAATTGTTGTCGGAGCTGGGAAAAGAATTGCTAGGGTAATTTGATTGGGAGAGCTTGCTGCATGCAAAGAATCCTATGCTGCACTGTCATTTTGAGAGCAGCACAGCATCCAAACCAAGTCAAGGTAAGTTCCTGCCACTAAGTTAAATCCATCTTAGTCTTCTCTCCTTTTTTCTCTCTTATATATCAGCAATCATTAGAAATAAAACGGAAAGTTTGGCTGCCAAAGGGAGCTATGCCCCCCTCTATTGTGTATAGTTGTCACACTACCCTCTGCCATGATCTGGCACGGGGTTTAGCCTCCTGCCCCAGGTGCTCAGCTCCCTGCCAATCCAATTGACAATAGTTCTCAAGTATGGTTAAGGGGAGAACTGAAATGCCGGGAAATGGCATTATGTATTGTGTTATAATACAATGTATCCTATATATGGGGTACAGTGCATTTTGTTTGTTTAATGTCCTAAGGGGTGATGGGAGATTTTTCCTGTGTTTATGTATGGTTTTCTTTTTTCGATGTATCTTTTTTTGAACTATGCCCTAATACCTAATTTGGAATATATGATGGAGAAAGGGGTTGATATGTACAAAGGATGACGGTGAATATATTATCCTATAATGTAAGTGGGCTTAACACCCCACCAACTATATAGGGAACCAAAACAACACTCGGGCCATATAGTATTACCAGATTATATACATGTTTTTATACTCAATGGTACTACAGCCTTTCAGATATGAGAAAAAGGAAAGTGGTTGCCATTGGTATACATAAGAGCAGTGGCGTAACAACCGGGGGTGCGGGTGGGGGGGGGGCGAAAAAAATGTTCTGCCCCGGGCGCCCATACCTCTGGTTACGCCACTGCATAAGAGCATACCTTTCCAGTTGACTGATATAATAGCAGATATATATGGGAGGTATTTGATCTTAAAGGGTTCAATAGGAAATACAGTGGGGGGAATTTATCAAGTGAGCTGCTCCAGTTTTCAGTGACAAATTTTCCACGTTATTTGCACCTTATTTATCAATGCAGTCTAAGCCTTGATAATAAATGTCATTTTCATTAGACATGTTGGGGGGAATTTATCATAGCAATTGCGAGTGTTTGAACTTGCACGGAATATATTTGCACCAGATTTATCAAGCTAGTGTAATGTTGTTGATAAATGAGGTTTAGTAGACTCCAGGAAAAAATACTTCTAACTTCAGGCAAAAAGCTTAACTGTCGTATCTTGAGTAAGTGGTCACGGGGACTTCTTAAGTTGTGACTGTTTTCTTAGGTGATGC